TCAAGGTCACATTTGTCATTTTACAGACATTTTTCCATTTTCACAGCCTGACCTTCACACACACTGCAGAAATTCCACCAAATCCTTGCTCGTCATGTAGGAACATTGTTGAATCCGAATTAGTTGTTAACATAAGGTTCTTGATAATTCTGGCAAAGTCATAAAAAATGATGACAAAAAAAATGTGAAACACTAAATAATTTGATGACTGGTATCCTGTTAGATGGTGATGATCATGATCTTCATGGTCATGATCATGGAGGGAGTGGTCCTACTGGTTGACTCCCACATTAGGAAGGCGTGGTTGGGGCTTTCCTTTCACCATTATGCTAACATCAGTGAAATGCTGGTGAATTCACATATTTCCATGCATTTATGTGTCACTGATCATCCTGAACTTTAACTTTGTCAAGTAGATTGCTTTTTACTGGATGTGACTCTTTAAAAGCCTCATTGATTCCTCAAAGGATTCTAATTGTCTTTATTTTCTGTAATACAGTAAGTCAAGAGCACATCACTCTACTGCTCAGCTTTACACATTTCAAAAACCTTGAAACTGCTATGGATTGTAAGCTGAATGAACTAATACATCCTCAAAGTTTCAATACAGGACTGGGAGTTAGATTTATCAGGTAGATGTGCAGTAATACAGAACAAAGGGTTGTTGCTGAAAAGAACAGTGCAGATCTGTGCACCAGGATTTTAACTGTATGCACAGAGCAATTCGAAGCACTAAAGTAGTTTTATTCCTCCACCACATTGGATCATCTATCTCCATCTCACCCTATCCCTAGCATTCATTTCTGTCACACCAACCATCTACAGGTCATTCTTCACATCCATTAATCTTCTCTGAGGTTTTACTCTTGTCTACCTGCCTGGCAGCTTCATATTCACCATCCTTTTTCTAATATATGCATTATCCCTCCTCTGCACATGTCCAAACCATGTCAGCCTTGCCTCACTTTATCTTCAAATCACTCAAGCTGAGCTTTTCCTCTGATGTTCTCATTTGTAATCCTGTCCCAATGAAAATCTAAGCATTTTCAGCTCTCCACTCCTGACTTCCTCATGCAGTACCACAGTTCCTCCTTTGGCACCCTATCATATGTTTTCTGTAGATCCACAAAGAAGCACAGTTGAAAAAATCAACTGCATTCTTTGCCAGACATCCCCAAAGCTCCACAAGTATGTCATATGAACCCACTGCCACTCTTCAGTGTGTTCATAGCTGTTCTTACTTCCTCCTTACTAATTCTCTACTGCTCATCCTTTCCGACATGATCTTTCTGTCCAGCCAATCGATATAGTGTTTTTGTTTTTCCTTAGTGCCCAGCCTTGTGTATGAGTCACTGTAACCCTTTGCCTTTGTCACTTCTTTCTCTTTGCCTCCCACTACTCCTCCCCACTTTCTTCATCACACAAATGATTCCACTCTTTCTTTGCCAACATCTTTTGAATATTTTCCTCTCCTAATGGCATCACCATCTCCTCTTTACTCCATCCAGAGGATACAGTAAGTACCTTCTTGGCAGTTTCCCTCACCACTTCACTTATGCTTTCCCAGTCACTGGGTAAGTCTTCACATGTTACTCTGTCACTGGTGACATCAGCTGAGATGAAGATCTCTGAGAGTGAAAGTCAGAACCAACTTCTTGCTTTTCCAACAGAAACATGGAACGAGTGGATGCCTGGCTGTTGGGGGCAGGATCCCAGGTAAGTAGAGCATTTTTGGGTCTGTCTACATCCGTCATGATTCCCACTGTCAAATAGAGGGGCAGTGTCGTGTAGTTAAAAAACAGAATGGAAAAGTATGTAATCAGTGTGGCCAAAAGTAGTTATGTGATTTTACATGATCTTAAAGTCTATGACCTAAAATTTCCAATGTGGAAAAGCAGCCCGACTGTACATTAATATTTTGCCTGCTGGAGTTTTAAAATATAAGCTACACAATCGTTATTCAATTTTAGGGCACTTGATGTCCTTCCTTTGAAGGAGAAACAGACAAAGTTTGTCCGTCTGTCTGTTTGTTAGCAGTCTTTGGTTCACAGCTTTCATTTTCAGTTCAAGCTTATTTAATTTGGGTGAAAATGACATCAAGTTCACACAAATTTCTGCTT